TCGGGTAATGCTGCTTTGGGGGGGCTGGGTGGGGCTGGGTTTGGGGGAATGGGGTCCCTGGGCAGGGAGAAGTGATGCTGCCATGTTCATGCAACCCCTTCCCTTTTCCAGGCGTGTCTACAAGGAGCACCTGGGCCTGTCGCAGAAGGTGGCCATCGGGTACCAGGCCCACGCGGACACAGCCACCAAGAGCGGGTCCCTCACCAAGACCAAGTTTGTGGTGTGACTGCGGGGGGAAGTGGGGCGCTGCCCACAGTGTCCCCCTGTCCCATCCCTCAATGAATGGTTGCAGCTGAGCTCGGGCTGTGTGTCCATGGCTGGGCCACAGCCCCAGCGTGCTGGGGTGGCTCTTGCCTGGGGGTCCCTGGGAGGGGGTGGTGTGTTGCCATGTCCTGTACCTGTCTGTGGGGTGAGTGGGGCTGGGAGCACAGAGGCATTGCCCAGGTGTCACTGCAGGCTTGGGTCACTGTGTGCCCCCAAGTGCCTGGGAACAGTGTCCATCTCTCTGGGGCTGTCCCTCTGCTCTGGGGGACCTTGGAGGGTCCCCAGGAGGATGCTGGGCTCTGTCTTCCCCTGGCCAAGGCACAGCTCACTGCCCTGTGAGCCTGGGGGTGGGAGGGGGTCCAGCTCCTTTGGGTTGGGCCAGCCTGGGGAGCTGGTACCCATCTCCCCCAGACCCCTATACATCAGGGGGACATGTGTCTACCTTCTCGGGAAGAGCAGCTCCCAGCCTGGTATCCCCACAGGGTCAGTCCCGGGGCAGTAGCACAGCATCATCCCCACGCTTCCCCAGCACCCTGCCTGCCTCGGGCTGTGTTCACCTGCAGGCATCCGCAGTACAAAGCTTATTTGCTGCCCATGGGTTTACTGGTGCCAGACCTGCAGGTTCACAGGCCCCAAACTCCCCAGTCCATCAGCCCCTCCTTCCCGTGGCCTCTGCTGTCCCTGCCAGCCCTGGCTGCAGCAGGGCCCCCTTACTCCTCGCCCCCTGTTCCAGCCCAGCCCATGCTCCTTCCTTTGCTCTTTCAGTTGTGTTTTTGGCTGTTGGGTCTGTGCCTTGGCCCTGCCTGTTTGGGTTCTTGCAGTGGAGCTGCCTGCACTTCTGCTGCCCAGCCTCCTCCATCCCCTCTGGGAGCACAGGGGCAGCTCCAGCTCAGCCCAGGCTGCACCCTGTCCTGGGCAGCACATCCATCCCGTCTGCACCCCTCTTTGAGCCCAGAGCTGGGGCGTCTCACCCCCCCACCACTTTATGCTGTCTGTGCTGGCTTGGTGCTGCCCTGCCTGCAGCGGGGCTGCTGCCTGCACCCAGGGTTTGCAGGCAGCTGCTCCCCCGGAACAGTCCTGACTATTTCTCCGTGCCTGCAGTGGGTCGAGGCGTGCCTGGCCCAGCTCTGCAGTTGTGGCTGCGGTGCAGCCCCACAGGGTTTGCCAGAGTGTGCAGGTCCCTGCTCTGGGACACTGCCATGGCTGCACAGAGCTGTGTCCCTGGGACTCTGCTGCC